AGTGATGACATCATCGTGTTCCATTACACAGGTGTTTGTATTGAGCTAATGAGGCGTCCAGAGATCAAAGGTTTCCATTGTTCTGGATGAGAGATAAACCTCTTACATGAGAACGTTTTGTGGAAGAACCGTAACAGATATCTGTGAAATTTCAAAACGTGAAGCATGTCAAGGAAGTTGAGTATCTGAAGTGTAATTGTTGTGTACTTTCGGGTTAATAATGTGGCCTTTTTGGCAGTTTAACTAAAGGTGTGCGGCTGCTGCTGTGAGGAAATATCTGCCTGAAATTACAATGGGCTTTAATGGAGACATGTTGAACGTTATTGTCACTTCATGCCCTCAAGAGGCACTATGTTTAATTATTTGTCATTTTTCAAGCTACGGGATGTTTTCCTACATTTGTCATGAAAAATTGTGTCTCAGGAATGTAGGGTTTGGGAATTATGGCAGTTTAAAAAAAATATATGAAGGCAAATTTCAAACTGTCCTCCACTCTAACTCTGACATCACGCACTCTGCCTTAACGAGCTGCGCAATGTTAAAGTTCAAATGTTAAAAATGTGATGAATTATGGGATGTATCTCTGGTATTATGAAAGTTATGAATGAGAAAAGTAATAGCCATCGATTCCCGACCGATCTGAACGTTTTGATGTTTGAACGGAGTTTCTGCGATGTTCAATGCGGGAGGAGAAGCGCGGCAAAATAAGTCGGCGGAATAATACACTTTTCGTGCGTAGAATAACAGTTAGTTGGAATGCTGTTAACAGCATTCCCACTAAATAAATGTAGTGGAGTAAAAATACCAGGTTAACCTTAAAGAAAGCCTTCAGAATTACAAAAGACCCCCATCACCCCAGCCACAAACTGTTCTGTCTGCTGCCGTCTGCCAGGCGGTACCGCAGCATCCGGACTAAAACCACCAGACTCAGGGACAGCTTCATCCCACAGGCCATAAGACTGTTAAACAACTGAACTTAGAAACAACATCCATAACATTCATCTGGCTGCTACTTAGAAATTATTTGTCTAATATATTATATTCCAATCACTTGTATATAGACTCTTATTGCACTATTTCACTATTTTTCCTTTTGTATTTACTTGCACTATTTTTTCTGTCCATCTGTTTTATTGTGTTGCACTTTTGGAGGAGCCTGTGACCTAAGATTTTCATTGTTATAACTACACTGTAGCTATGTACGTATGACTAATAAAAGGCGTAACCTTGGCGCACTGCCACTCCAACGTCCAATCACAGAGCTTGAGGACTAATCACTGGGTTTGTCAAGCAAAGCGCATGGTGTAGTCCCAAACGATAGCTGAGGATTCTGGGTAGTGTAGTGTCTTTTGCCATCCTAAACTCCGAAAAAATATTTGTTTCTCCGAATGGAAGGGGGAAAATACAAAAGCATTGTACACAATTTAGACCAATCAATGTTGGACCGATGCGGTGCTTCCCTGAGCGTCAAATATTGCCGCCGATGGGAATACATTGCAATCAGTTGAAAGCTCTTTGCGTCCGTTTATGAAGCTGAAGGAGCCTCGGTGCACCATAACCGGACGCCACGGGACCCTGACCAAGCGTCTCTACTGGACGATCAGGGAGTGTGTTGGTTTAGTGTAATGTAAAACCCAGATTTTATGTTTTTTTCCCCAATTGTATTACTTTTTTATCACCATAGATAAAGTTCAGTTAGGGTCTTATTCAATAACCAACATATTTGCATATTACATATTTGTGACATGGACTTCTACATGCTCAGCACTGTAAGACATATCAGCGTTCAGGCATGGGATACATGAATACATTGTCTTAAAGGGTTTAGCCTTTCCTGCACATATTTTAACTCCTCCCTTGATATCCTCCCATTCTTTTTCTCATTCTTCACAGTTTGTGACCGAGGTCAAACCTCCCTCTGACTTCACTGACTTCACAATTAAACTGCTCTCAGATTCGCACTCCATGTGTGTCATTTCTGTATGCATAAGCCCCAACAAGCACCTACTTTGGTTTAACCTGATAAAGACTGCTCTTCCATTCCCACATGCATATCCATCTTTCCTGCGTCAACCCCAATCCAGCCTGAGCGTGCATGGAGAAAAGACAGAGGCCAGCCAATAAGCTGCATGGCTCTTCCTACATTATGAAAGGACAGAACCCCGGCGCTAATTGGTTTTCATTTTGATCTCGCCAGCCTTTGAATATGTCTGCCACCCCTCGGGTAATGGAATGGGCCTGACCACTTTAATTACCCACCACTGCTGAGAGAGTCAGAGAAGAAGAGAGAGAAGAGAGATGGAATAAAGGAAAGATGATGGAAGAACAATCCGGCAGCTGGAGACTGAGTGAGTAAGAGACGAAGAGGGAATTATTCAGTAGGTGAAGGAATTTCACCAGTGTGCGTGACCATGACTATAACCTTGTTGTTGGTCCTTTGTGAGTCCCATACATTGGTCACTATGGTTACAGAGTTCAAGGCTAGCAGAAATGGTTTCCATCCTTAAAAGGCAATCATGTGTAACAAGGGTTGTTGTTGTTTGTTTGGGGTCCAGTTTCAGGTTTGTAAGATATACAGATTAGCTTAACGCTAATGCTAACTGTTACGTGCCGTGTTTGTGTGTGTCTCCCTCCCCCTCTCCCCCTTATTGTCTCCCTCCAGGTGCAGCCTCTCCCTCAGGTGCTCCCAATCAGGGCCTCCATAAAGGACCTGAGGAAGACTACAGTCTCCCTCTCCTCTGGCATGTGTGCATAATTTGTGCAGCATGTGTGGTGTGGTGTGGTGCAGTGTAGTGTCTCTGTGTGAGGCCTAGTTTAACCTGTGTTTTGTTTATTGTTAGAAGATGTGCTCCAGTTTACCTTTTTGTGTATTGTTTAATTTAGTCACTTTCTTTTTGAAGAAAGTTGTTCTTAGTTACTTTAAGTTTGTTTTGCAAATTGGCTGGTGAGCCTCTTATATTTTATATTAATTAAAGCATCACCTTGTGGCTTCAACAATCAGTTTATTATTCTCCTTTTTTCTCTCTCCCGGTTATTTTATATTTTTGTTACTTCCCTTTGCACCCCTAGTCCAGGAGGGAACGTAACACTAACGAATTACAATAACATGAAATATTTGCCTAGAAGTTCAACATTACAAGTTGCTACCTGACAAAAAACCAGAGGATAACCAAAGTGATTACAATGTAATCTAAACATTAACCACAAAGATAATCCTGGTAATTTGATGCTGCCTGAGAAAAGGGAATCCACAAATGACCGTGTACAACATGCTGTGCCAATCAATAAGCAAGTTGTTGAGATATTCTACTAGAAATATAACCCTTCACGGTAGTCAGAGGATCGGTAAAGTCATTAGGACTCGTCTTGTGGGGACCATAATGCCTATACATGGCATTACGGGAAAACAACAGAAGTCAGTGTCAATAACTTGCACACCAATGTTTAACATAACTGTAAAGAGTTGTTCCAATCCAAAAGGGAGCAGACCTTCTCTGGTTGGATGAAGCATTTCATTAGTCCGGAGACAGCACTTCATTTGGACTTGCATTAGCTGCTTAGCATCAGCTGTTTCATTCATGATTAGTCATCACTGCCTAATTCCTCTGCTTTGTGTCTATCAGCTTAGTCTTAACATCCTATCAGTCATGCCAGATCTAATGTGTCAATGTTTGGACTTTTCACATTTTATACTTGCCATTCTCCGTCAGTAAGCTTTTTTCTGTTCTGTTCTAACTCTCCTGTCATTTCAGACCCTCCTATTTGCCTCCTCCTGTCAGTAGATCCATCTAACCTGCTCATCATCTCCGCTCACCTGTCCCCATTCCCTAATCAGCTCTGAAGTATGCATACAGGTCCACTTCCTCTCAATTACTGCCAGATTTTATTTGCGCCATGAAAATTAGCCTTCCAGGGTTTTTTGTTTTACATTTAGCCTGGCTCTTCACCTAGTTTGCCTGCCTGATGGATTTTTGTATCGTTGTTTGACTTTTTGTGAGCAAAGACTTTGTTTTTCGCACCCCTGCTTATGTTTTTTTGTCCTTAAGCAGTGATAAAATGTTTATGTATGTGATTATTAAGGGAGCATTAGCTTTCTCAACAGAGTCCTTGTTTTTACTTGGATTATCAGAGCTACGTTAACCTGTTAACCTGTTAAGCCCCGAGCCTGTTTTTCAGGCCTTACGCTCGAAAATGACATTCCCAAAACAAATGACCATATCTTCTAAAAGGGGTAAATTAATAATCTTTTTTCTCAAAATAATGACAAACTTATGAGTTGGATGTAGAAAAGCCAGAATCAATATAAATGTTTTTATTTTAAAGTAAATTCAGATTGAACATAGTAAAAAAGAAAAAATTATAGTGTCCGTCCAAAAAAAAACATTATAGTGAAACTACCATTGAATGATGGGATAGAAGACTAAAAGCTTTAGGAATCCAAACTATAACATATAGTAAGTACCCTGTATCAAGATTGATGCAAAACAAGTGACATTTAACCTTTTTAGGGAGATTTAGAACAAAAAGACCCACCTTTGGGGTCATTTGGGTGTATATGCCGTTTCTCTAGAATCCATTGGTCGATTTTGGTGATTGACACCTCTTTTGAACCATTAGAGCCAATATAATCGAAGGGGAAGTTCCACATACACACACACACGTTACCATTGAGGAGTGAGTGTGACGCGCACGCAGTCGAAAGCTATGTTACGCTCTGAAAACTGAAACTATAGGCTCAAACTAGTAAATATGAAGATAGATTATCAGTAATCATTAAAAGTGAAACAGACACATTGGATTAACCTTCAACAGAGTTTTTCTCGTTTTGATGCCATTGAACACAATTTTTGATCAGAAACAGCTAAAGGTAAGGCCTGGTTCCAGAAAAAATTAATCAGGGTGCATCCGAGATTAGAGAGGGTGCAGTGGTAAAGTGTTATTTTTATAAGTGGGGAGTGGACCTAACACCCTCTAGGGGGGTCATCATCTCCTCTAGGAGGGTCCTCACCTCCTCTAGGGGGGTCCTCACCTCCTCTAGGAGGATCCTCACCTCGTCTGGGGTCTGGGGGCATGCTCCCCCGGGAAGATTTTTTTTAAAATATTTAAGTTAAAAGCATCAATCTGGTGCACTTTAAGAGCAAAATGAAGAGATCTATGGATCTATGTGCTCTTTGCTTGATGTATGCCTTCCCAGTCCCTTATCACGTACAAGAGCATGGCGCCAGTTGTTGTAGCCAGTTGTGGTGAAGGCATCTGACTTACTTGAACCGAAATGTCTACATGCATAGCAGAAGATGGCATCTTTTTTACATGAATATTCCAGCCAATCTCTGTTTTGAAACCATGAGCTACAAAATGAGCGCCTTACCCCGCTGTACAGGCGAGTTGGGTACTTTTTTTAATATACCTGGGCAGGCTCTGTTTTGCCGAGGTCCTCTGGCACTTGCAGGCCGCCGAGGGGTGGCGGTGTTTGGGGCAACGAAGACGGCTGCGGCTGCTCCGCCTCCGTGGGCGAGGCGGGCAAAGCCGGCGAGTCGGGCGGGAGGACGTTAGTGTCCACGACAGTGGCCGCGGGTAACGTAATGTCCCCCATGATCTGTTATTACCTGCAGTAGATGCAGTGTTACTGAGGGCTGGTTGTTTTAACTATTTTCTGATGTCCATCATTGACTGCTGTGTAAGCACCTTGTAGATGATGAACGCGCAGCGGCACAGGTCACGCACACCTTACATAATAACGTTACTTAGGCTTATCGTTTAAATTGACCAAATAAATGCAGCAGACAATGTTATTTAACCAGAATTACAATTTATTTTATTTCAACTATTTTCTTCTTCTTATTATTATTATTATTATTATTATTACATATTTAATATGTTTGACTTTTCGTTTTTTTTTCACTTTTCAAATGAGGGTGCATAACGACTTAACTTACCCTTATGCACCCCCTTAGACCCGGGCCTGGGTAAGACATACTGACCGTGTTTGCTCCTTAAAGGTCTGTGTTGTGATATCTATGTTTGCTTCCCCTGTCGCAAGTTCTGATCGCACAGTGATGATACTTATATTTCTGGAATCTGTGGAATCTCAGCTTGCTAATCGATGTCTTGTATTTTCAGATCCGATATGCAATTAGGGTATCTATACCTAGAGTTCTGTTCTAAGTGCGTTAGCATTGTTTCGCTCAGGGCTCATTTTTTCGCTCAGGGCTCATTTAGACGCTTCTTGTGAGACTTGTGTTTTGTTTTGGTAAAAATTGTTCATATCGTCAATTAGCTGAGTTTCTTGCCGTTAAGTGAGTATGACACATTAATAGGTTTTTAAATGTTAAGAAGCACTGAGACACAGTTTTTAAAAAAAAGACCAGGTTAACAGGTTAACTGCATTGATGATTTATCAAATCATACCAGATAATGTAGTGCATTTCCATGGGTTAGCAGCAAGCAACCGGTGATATATGGACATCCCCAATTACAGGTTTCTCTTCATTGGCTCTTTACAGCTAATTATACGGGCGGGGGGCCTCCGGGTTGAACAGGTTAAAGAACAACACCATTTTCTGCCAATTATAGAGGTTTTAACATTACCTAACTGAAATGGTCCTGTTGATAATTTTATATTTTAAAGTTTTTAGTTGTTAAAATCGCAAATGTATTCATAGTATGCCAATCATTGATCAAAGAAAGTAGTAGGCGACACATTTTTATTCAATTTCTTGGTTATTTGATTAAAATGTCATATAGGCTGCTTATTCAAGTTTTGGAAATGTTATAAAAGGTCTCCAACCCCTAACCCTACTTTTATCGGATATGTATGGGTGGGGATGTGTTTGTCTTCTGCCTCTCTGTGTGTGTATATTAGCCTTGGATCCTGATATTGATGGCTTTGAGGCAAGGTCAATGGGCCACGGTGACTGCCTGAATGTCTACTCTCTTAGGCTGGGACCAATAGATCATTTCAGGGAGGGAGAGAGAGTGCAAGAGAGGGAGCCACGGAGTGGGGAGAGAAATAATATAAAATGTTCATATGGAGGGTCAAAGGGCACTGCTCTGAGATCTCATCCTGGGACCAACAGCATATGCAGAAAGAAGCAATATCAAGTGAAGACCATCCGTTATGTCAAAGCAAGTGAGTGACTCATTCAGGTCCCAAGCCACACGTTGGATTTTCAGCAACTGCCTCAATGTCAAATAAAATGATGCCCATGAGCCACTTCCAAAAGTTGTTTTAAAATGCTCTCCTCTTGTGGCTTTTGAATCACCAGTTGAATGGCCACTGAAATGATGCGTATGACTGACACTTCAAAGATGGATTAACCCCAGCCCGCCTCCTGATTGTCCAAAATCAAAGAACAATGGTTTAGCAATATTGCACCACAACAAGGGTGTAACTTTGGTTTGAGAAGTGGTGGGGACACAAAACAGGGGGTCCTCCGCAATGAAACATTGTTCTCGATTTAATTCCATTTCCTGCCTTTCTACAAATATATATTAGGGACTATGGCAATAAAAATGTGTAGTGTGTATAATGAGTGTGCAAACTTATCTATCCATGAACCTGTTTTATTTGTGATGACCTCACATCCTATAGGGGGGTCCGGGGGCATGCACCCCGGTAAGATTTGTTTCTTTAAATTGAAGTTAAAGGCATCAATCTGGTGCACAAATTAAGAGATTTATGGATACAGCTCTCAACACTCATATGAAACAGAACTGTATATATTTCAATACTCCAAAAACCATTAGAATATGCTCACAACCAATAACACATCATTGATATACTCCTCTCTCCTATCTTTATCTTACCTAGTCTGCATTCTTTCTTTTTATTTATGCATATTTTACTAATCACTTCCCTTTCAAACTGTGTTTTTAATTTTTTACTGACATTGGAATTACTTTTTAACTTATTTTGAACAACTATATTAAA